AAAAAAAAAAAAAAAAAATGCTTCTGCCACGTAGGCAGTGAGCAATACTATGCTGTTTGGTAAAGTGATTTTCATCACCATTTTTTATGTATGTGCTGATAGGTAAGCACCACATAGGATATACATCAGTCAACCGTTGGGGGAAACGATTCACCGATGATATTTCATGCATCGGTGGGGTCCCGATTTTCAAGGCATGCCCGATTTTTTAATAATCGGCTGAACCAAACAATGAGATACATAGGCATTTGTTGAAACACCTATGTAGATCCGATGTGGCACCTTTTTTTTTAAAAACGGCCACGATTCTAAACATCCCCTTATATATTTGTACTCCTTCCAAAATCAGCCTTATAGTTGAAGAGAACAAATTAACAAGAACTAATTGTTTGTTTGTTTGTAATTTGTCTCGAAGGATTCAAGGAAGGGATAACTGCATGCTGCGGCTCGGGACCATTCAGGGGAATATATAGTTGTGGAGGAAGAAGAGGAGTGAAAAGATATGAGTTGTGTGACAAGGTCAGTGAGTATGTCTGGTGGGATTCTTTTCATCCCTCTGAACGGGTCTACCAACTGATTGCAGAGCAAATGTGGAATGGAAATCCTAATGTCGTTGAGCCTTACAGTTTGAAAAGTCTCTTTGAATGGGTGGAAGTATAGGTCCTAACCGTATCAATGAGGGCACCAAATGGGATTAATATTTCTTTTCAATATTTGGACTAGAATTCTTTATGTTTTCAAATTTGGTGTTATTGGATGCGATTTATGATGATATTAATAAGATCCTTAATTTCTGTCGATAGAAACATGGCCATTCAGTCATTCATATATATCAGGGCCCCTATTGATTATGGAATATATAATATAATATAAAAAATCCCAAGTAGACAATGACACCAGTCCAAAAATCACCCTTGAGGGCACTCATTAAGAAAAATACATGAAATCAATGTTTAGAATTTCACAGCATAACACAGGGTGCCAAATGTTAGGACCATATATATCTAATCTATTCCTCACAAGACCCTAGATACATATAGCTGTGACCAACATTGGCACTTCAGCTAATGTATAAACTATAAAGTGTTCCAAGACCCTGGAGTAAAGCTTTTGGGTTAAAATTAAAAAAGCCTCAGGCCTATTGATGTTTGGGTTTTAAAAAATTATGACAGTTGATGATGCACAATAGTACCTACTAAACCATAACCAAAATTATCAAATAACTTTTTTTTTCTATAAATTAACCTTATGGAAGAAATGTAAATTCTAAAATAGAATTTTGTAAAAAAAAGTATCCAATTGTCAAGGCTTGTAATTCCAAACTATGTTTTGTATAAGTTTTTGTTTGATATGAAATTAATTATCTTGTTTAATTAGATTGAAAAGAACTTTGTAACACTTCAATTAAATTTTTAATTAAGTTTAGCTTAGTAAAAATAGTGCCTTGGTTTGTTGTTTCAATAATATTTATTTATGCTAGCATTAAAAACTTGAGAGAGCCTTAGCTCTTTCATTTGTAATTGCTTCATTAAACTTGTTAAATTGAGATCAAAATAAAATGAACATGAAGAAATTGGCATCACACAATTGAAAATAATTGCCATGAAAATCAAAACTAGCTTAGTTGGTTGAAATAACAGACTCCCATCCTGTACTTAGGGGGTAGTGACATTAATTTAACCCTCCAAACTTTTATCTCCCCACAACCCACCCTGAAATTCCAAATTCTAGAACTTTACCCTGATGTTAGCATTCAATCAATTAATTTCAGAAAAGATTCTGATGTAACTATCATCTGTGTTAAAACCCCAAACTCCTATCATTTTAGTAGACCATTATGTAAAAAATTGATAAATACAACAAAAAAAAGGAAAAAATAGGAACTTACAGAAAATACAGAAAAACCAAAAAGAAAAAGAAAACTAAACAAAATAAAATTGAATGAGCAAATGCATGTGGCCACTGGCCACCCAGGTGAATTACATAGAGAATAAAATTAATGGCACTCGAATTGAAATCTCCCAGAAAATTATTTAATATTTTATCATTTAGGCTCTGTTTGGAAGGAGTACAAATACAAATATGTAGAGTGCAAATACATATAAAATAATACAAAATATAAGGTTTTACACCCTACATATTTGTATTTGTACTCCTTCCAAATTTAGCTTTAATAATTACAATGGCACAAAAAAATCTAAAATTTATACACGCATGCAGAGAGAGAGAGAGAGAATGAGAGTTTGATATGGGTTTGGATAACCATGGGTCTAATCTAGAATGAGGGATCTAGATTGGGTTGTGGGTATCCATTTGGGCCAATTGCATGACAGAAGTATGTAATTTTTCTCATGATTTTTATTTTCTCTTTCATCTCAATTTTTCTTTTCTCTTTCATAGTCTCTATTTTTTCTCCCCTTTCCTTTTCATCTTCCCTCTCTCTTTCCTTTTTCTCCCACTCATGCATCTCCCTTTTCTCCTACATGCGTCTTTCTTCTCATTCCTTTCTCTTCTGTGTTTCTTTCCTCCTCTTTCCTTTGTTTCTTCTCCCTCTTCTTATTTTTCTCTCCGTTCGCCTCTCCCTCACCTCTTGATTATCTCACTTCTCTTTGTTTCTCTAACTTCCTAGTGAAGTCAATTTTTATATTTGGATTGAACCAAGGTATATATGCACACGTGACACTACAAGAGAGAACTACAGTTTTTCTTTCTCTTTCTTTTTTTTTTTTTTTTACATCCAATTCATCTCAACCCATCCATATTCCACTCGTAGGAAATAGAAAATTTGACAAAAAAATAATGTCTACAAGATTCATGATAATCATCAGAAGTGAAAGACAGCACGTACGTTCAGGTTCTTGAAAAGAATGATGTTTTTAGCAAAGGCTATTTTTATAATTTTTCCTACAATCTGAAGTCTTATATAAATAATTTAATGAAAAGAAGGAGATAATTATTAATTAGGTAGGCTTCATTTTTTCCAACAAAATGAGGTATTATATAAGAACGATGTTCCCCGTTACCACTGCATTAGTTCTTATAAATACCAAACTTGATTCTCTTACCTGTGAAAGAAAAAATAAAAAGAAAAAGAAAAAAGAAACTACTTTGTTCAAAGGTAAGTTCTTCTTTTACTGGTTTCACTCAATCCAAATTCTTTGGTATATTTTCACTCAATCCAAAAGTCCTAATTATATTCTACAACCAACCCTATTCAATTTTTATGTCGGGTCTTCATTAATTCTTTCTTTTTTCTTTTTTTTTTTGGTAATGGATCTTCGTTAATTCAAGGCCTAGCAGGGTGGGCTCAGGTCCAAATTAGATCAGCCCGCCCCATCTGCAACAATAGCAACATTCTTACTTCGTAGGTAAATGTTGAACCCAGGGACTTTATTTCTTCCGGTTAGGTTTGGGATGATGATCCATTCCACTGCACCCGTTCAGCCTTTAAATTTCTTTATTTTTTTTCTCTTTTCTTTTCCTTTTATGTTTTAAGTCTAAAAATGAAGCTTTCGAGCATTTTCAACTTTATCATTTCTCACTCAATTATGCTTTTATCTATATATATAGATAGATAGATGGATATATGTATGTATTATAACCTTTCTCCTCCTCCTCTCTCTCTCTCTTGTACGCGTGTTATAACTAATGTTGAATAAACTGGGTGTTCTCTTTCATTCTCTGTAACAATTAAAGCAACTGCGCGGCCCTATCCGTAAGTGTTCTTCCACCCATCTATTTTACTAGCTCCTCAGCTGATTGGTTTAAGCCGTGCATGTAATGAATCTTGGATCTCTGTTTGTAACGATGCAAATCATCAATAAATAGGGTAGGTTGTCTTTCAAGAATCATAATTTTTTAACTTTTAATTAGGAGTTACGAAAATATGATGTGCCATGTGCCTGAATCATGATGAATTGTTTTTAAATAAATCCATGATCTCCCAAATGATGTTTTTTCTACACTAGCAAATTTCTACGTGTTTTGAGTTTTCTTATCAAATCCGTGTAAAAGATAAATAATCAAATTATAGTGTTATTGTGGATTTAATTTTTTTTAATATTTCATTTTCATTCTTAATAGAAGTATTTTTTATTTATCACATTCACTTTTGTTTAATATAATAGTTATGTAATATTAGAGATATTCACAATTTTTTCTACAGTTTTCTTTTGTATTTTTATATAACATTTTATTTCTATTTATTTTTTTGAGTTTTTATTATATAATTATTGATATCATGAGTTCACCCATTTGACTCAAAAGAAAAAATGATTTTATTTTTGGATGACTTAAATTTTTTTTTCTATTTACATAAAAAATAATATTATGTATTATATATGATGATATATGAAATTAGAGATGTGCCTAGAAGGAGAACTGGTACCTTACACCCATATAAGTGTGACCAACATTGGGTATGGCATTTTTTATAATTGTACCATACATGAATTTGCCATGCATGCCATACTTGTTTTGTACCGTTACCATGTGCATAATAACCACAGATTTGGAACATTGTTCATAGGGCCTATAAGTGGGTTAAGCAGATTAGGTAGTCCAAACTAATAATTGGGTTGGTTCTTGTTTGGTTAAAAACATGGTTTTATGACACCGATTTATTGGTAACAATTGCAATTGGTTACTGCCAAAGATGCTATTTTTTGGCAACAATTGCAATTGGTTGTTGCAAAATATTATTGCTACCAACAGTTTCATTAATTTGTACAATTGTTGCTAAAGAATGTATTTTGCAACTCTGGGTTATTGCCAAATATATTTAACCATGGCTCAATTAGCATCAGTTAGTTTAGTTGTAAGTAAAACATTTATAAACAATTTTTCTACCATTAGCAATAGTTTTTTGCTGTTGTCAAAAGTCCTTTTAATTTTCTTTTAATTTGTAGTATCACTAATCACTACAAGGGTTAGACAAACAATACCTCTGATTGGATTGCTAACCCAATGATCATATAGTAGGGGCTCAGGTGTGGGAATGGTGAAAGGAACACAAAAGAGCTAGGTGGTGTTTGGTTTAGTGTTGTGGAGCATTTTTTTCATCATGTAAATGTCATACAGGCAATTTGATCTCACTAAACCAAAATCAGGCCAGTTTAATTGGGATGATTCAAGTATAATTGTTTATATTACTTTTTACCTGACCAGGTTATATGTGAGTCACTTTAGAAGGAAATACCATTTGAATGTTTTGGATGAACAATTTAATTCACAACAATTAATGTTTTTTTTTTTATTTGGGGGGGGGGTTGTGGATATGATCCACAACATGATAATGTTCCAAATTAAAATGGATGAGTGCCGGTAATTACCATGGTTACATTTATTTTATTTTTTATTTTCATTTAAACCATAGATATGGTTACAATTGGCATCCATATATAGCCATCAACTCATATCTGGTACCTGTAATAATACAGGAAGGAAATTAAAGAAGTTAGGTCTTAAGTCACTGAAGAGTGGATATGGTAGCCAACAAGATTGCATCGACAGATATGGCGAGCAATGTGCCTAATACCATGAAAAAGGAACAGCAAACAATCTCAAGCTCCCTTGGACGGGACATGGGAACAGCTGCTCAATGGTTGCTCAGTGTTGAACAATGGAAAAGTAGGGCAGGAATTAATCAACCTCAGAAACATCAAATACAAAAGGTTCCGAGTATGATGCGTAAAGGACACGAGAAAATCTATGATCCCCAGGTGGTCTCGATCGGTCCCTGTCACCATGGCGAAGAAAATCTCAAGGAAATTGAGAACCACAAGCCAAAAATAGCAAATAAATTGGCTTCATTAGCCAATCTTGAAGTACAGGATCTCTACCACAAAGCCATTGAAAATAATGAAAGCACAATAGAAGAAGCGAGGAAAAGCTACACTGATGAAATAATCAACAAGTTTAATGAAATGGTCCCCGACAAGCGTAACCAGAATGAATTCTTCAAGCGTCTAATGTTCCTGGATGGTTGTTTCATTGTTTATTTCATTTGCTGCGTGGAGAAGCAAAGGCTGGAGGATATGGAGATGAAAAATGATGATATTTTTCTCACAGGGACTGACTTGTTCAAGGTGGAGAACCAGATCCCATTTATAGTCATCGAAGAACTGATGAAGGCAGCATTCCAGTCGGGAATAGATTATATGGAAATGATCAACAGGTTTGTGGAGGCAACCAACATCTTAATCGCTAAGGATGGTATGGGTGGTAAGCCTCAGAGAAAAGTAAGTTCCGAGCGGCCTTCTCATCTCCTGGACCTTCTGCGTAGCAAACTCACTGAAAAAAGCGATGAATCGAAAGAGAAACAATGGAGTTGCTTCCCATACGACAGGTTGCTTCGCCCATGTTTTTCAGTAAATAATAAATGTCTGCCCATGTTCAGAAATGATAAAGCGCATGGATCTCATCGACAAGGGACAGACTGTTGTTCTTCGTTCCAGAAGCCATCCAGACTTTTTCCTTTCAAGTATGTCTGCAAACCCAACTGGCGGGAGCGATTCATCTGGCATTCATTCCGTTCAGCTAAGGAACTAAAAGAAATGGGAATCAGATTCAGGATGAGCAAATCATATAGCTTCAAAAGTGTTCATTTCCGACTTGGCTACATCCAAGGATATGTTTACATTCCTGGACTAGTTATTGATCGCTCAACCGAGGTTAGGTTTCTGAACTTGGTAGCCTATGATAGATGCTTTGGCAAGGGTGAGAAGGAGGTTGACGACGCAAATTTGTTAACATCATACATTTGTTTTCTGGATTCACTCATTGATCATGGTGATGATGTCAAAGAGCTGAGATCAGATGGTGTACTCTTCAACTATCTTGGCACTGATGAAGAAGCTGCCAACCTCATCAACGAGTTGGCAAGAGGATTGGTTGCTCCTGATAGATTTATAGATGTTAAGGAGAAGATTCAACGTTACTGCAGAAACAAGATGAGGACGTCGACAGCTGAAATGTTGAGCAAACACTTCAGAAACCCTTGGACGGCCTTGGCTCTATTTGGTGCAATATTAGTCTTGTTCCTTACTGCCATTCAAACTTACTTGACATTTGCTCCTCGAAAGCAATAGTTTGAGGAATATATGTTAGACCATTCATCAAGCTAGTACACTCCATGAGCAGTGTTTATTTATTTATTTTGTCTTCTCTCTCAGTCTAGTCTATTAATTAATTTTGCACTTCACTCCATGAGCAGTGTCTCCATTCTTTTCTTTGTATTTGAAATAAAGGCTGATCCAAGTAGCTAATTGATTCCTTTAATTAATTCACACATTTTATATTCTAACTTTGCGTTCGAAGGAAAGATATATAATAGGGTATAACAGAATTGGGTTTCGGAAAGACATGATACCGAGAATACTTAGAGCCAGAGGTAACCAATCTGATGGTATTTATGATACCAAAGCCTAATCCAAAGGTGTCTATTAACTTCTCCACCAGGACCTACCTTGTTCATACATGGGCTTCTCGGGTAGGAAATGAGCCACTTCAAATAGGTTGATTGCTCCGGACCAGATTACAATTAATCCGGCATGGGATGTTTTGATTGGTCAAATTTCTTTCGGGTATCATGTTTTTTCGATATCATAAATTTTCTCAATAATATTTTAGTTAATAAATTTGAAATTTGAGATTTTTTGTTTGTTTAATATCAATAAAATTGCAAAACCAATTTTCAAATCTAATGACTAATTTCCTGTTTGGCATGCCTTTCTGTATAGGCTGTGGGTTGACTCGATAATTCACATTTTAGTCTTTTCTTATTTGATTGAAAAAAAATCTAACCACCAAAAGATGACGGGCAGGAAGACGCATGCCTTTTTTTTCTCATGGTGGAGCTTTTCGGCTTTTTTTCATACCTTTTGGTTGTCAAATCTACAAGGAAATCTTTCAAAATAACTGGTCAAAAGACACCTAAAACGCCATCAGTAGCTAAAGCTAAGAGATGTTCCCAATGCATTGCTGCAAATGCTGTGAATTGGGTATGAGGACCATTTTGTGCGGAAAAAATAAATCGGATTTGTGGCTTTCGCCATAACTTGAGTAGTTTTAGCAGTAACCACCCAATGCATGGCAGAGAAGTCTCCATTCCGTTTGTGTGGGAAGATGGTTAATCTGTATCGGTGGTCACCGGTGTTGGAGAAAGGTTGCGTTTTCAGGGAAGCGCAGAAATGGACTGTCCACTGCTTTGGACTCCCGTTACATGCTTGGTGTCTAGAGGTGTTCAAAGCGATGAGGCTGGTGGTGTGGGCGAACGCTCCGAGTGATGTTCCAAAACCAAAAGCACTGACGATGGAAGTGCTGGGGGAAATTTTCATTTTAAGGTGGGTGGCTGTGGGCTCTGTTTCTAGGCCATTAGGGGCCGGAGGTGTTTCTGGCTAATCGGGGCGGAAGACTTCGTCACGGCGCTTCGGGTTGGGACAGGCGCTTCTGTCAGGAAGCTGCAAACGTTTACCGCTGATCCCGCTGGCTTCGGAGAAGGAAGCTAAGCTATTGCCTTTTGGTGCAGGGCCTACGGTGAAGCGGCGAGGAGCGGAGTTCAAATTTGAACTTAAATGTGGACTAGTGAGTGGTTACTGGTTAGGAGGTGTGTGGATCCCAACCTGCTGAGTGGGCCTGGCTGCAGCCCAGCAGGGCTAAATTGGGCCCAAGGGGCGGGCCTGTCTGTGGTGGCCAGCAGAGCTAAATTGATGTATTTTTGTATGTTCTCCTGTTCTTTTTCTAAAGAAAAAAAAAAAAAGATAAAACGTACATAAAACCCAACGAAATAAGAATAACTGAAGTACTGCAAGAGTAATCATCCTTTATTTAATTCTTTCAGCGACGGCTTAAAGTTCATAGATTTAAAGGGGGAGTAAGATTAAATGAAAAAATCAGGTAATTGACAACAATTGGGTAACATAATTGACACCGACTACAAGTTACAGGACCCACTTGCACTTCCCACAAATTGATCCTAAATCTGAACAACAAGATCAACCACTGTAATTTTATACGACTTTTGACAAACTGAAGCTATTAACCCTTGAAAAAATTCTGAACTTCTCAATTGGGTTAATTAATGGTGTGATTTAATTTCTACGGCACAATGTTCAAGGCTCCACAGTCGAAAAAGCACTTCATCAGTTTTCTCATCTTGTGATCTTGTCGAAAGGATACTTGTTCCTATGGCGGATTCCAGTGGAAGTTTAGGACGGAGGATGTACATGAGGATTTCATCATCAGCCAAGAATGCTCAAATTCTATCTTCTGCTTTGCTCATAACCATTTTCACTCTGCTTTTATTATTACTAGCAGAAGGGCACGTGCTACTTATGTGTATTTAATGTGAAAATATATACTAAGAAAAATTATTAATATGAAAGATGATTTTTATAAAATAAAATTAGAAAGAAAAGTCATATTGTGAAAAATTAATTTTTTTCATAATCCTAATCTACAAATCAGGCCACCTATCCCTATCTGTCCAAATGTCCAACAAAGTTAATCCCCCATTATCAAAGTAAAACGAATACAAGAAATAAGAAGAAGGAAACAGAAAACAAAATAGTAACATCATCTTCCACATCGTGCGAATAGGTCCGTCTGAGTAGATTCTGCATATCAATTGGAAGAGCTCATCACTGCGCTTGTTTTGCTGATATCTTTGATGCCATAAGTTTCATGATTACGAGAAATTTCGCCTATCTTCTTCTGGATTTTTTTATCTGCTTTCTTAACTTGTATAGATCTTTCCCCTTGTTGACCATGCCAAAGCAATTCTGGGTGAAGCTCTGTCGTCTCCTCCTCCCCTGCACGTAGGTATCAATAACACCCTCCACCTCATAAGCAACACCCCTGATTTCCCGAACCCAGTTGCAGATTCTTTCGTCTTTTTGCTGTCTCGCTTCTGCATCTTTTAAGAAGCTCAAATCCATTCCAGTTCAGATTGCAACCCTTTGACTTCATCTCTCACGTCAGACAAGAAAAATGCTTCTTGAACGAGCAACTCACCAAGTTTTTCTATGGGCAAGGGAGACAATAGGAGAAACAATAAGATCGGCCATCCAGTGCTACTTCTCTGGTCACCTCTTGATAAGAGATTGTCAAAAACTTCTGAAACACCTCCGAAGCTAGTGGACTCAGACTGTGCTAGACCGATTGAGTCTTTCTGCTCTGTTTTCTTTCATTGAACTAGTGACTAATCAACTCACCAATGGACTTATCAAAAAAAAAAAACAAAAAAAACTCAACTCACCAATGGAGTACTAGCCAACCTGTAGGGATCTATTTTCCCGAAAGTTTAATCCATAAAAAATAAAGTTAACGGAGGGTTAACTTTGTTGGACATTTTGTTGGGAGGTTGGACAGACAGGGACAGGTGGTCTGATTTGAGTGGGTTAGTAGTGAGGAGAGGAGGAAAAGGTTAGCAGTAAATCAGAACTGGATGGATATAGTACAGGAAAATTAACGTTGAACCAACCTTGCACCCACTACCGCTGTGCTCGAGAATCATTCTAAGTCTGATTGGTTCATTGAGACAAAATCTAACCTTTTTTATTGAATTCTGGTGTAAATTAACAAGCTTGGCATCTCTGAATGAAGTAGATTCTTCCACTAAGTACCTTACCTTTACTACATTCTACTACAGTTTAAGCTAGATCAGAAGCTGTGGATTATAAATGAAAATGCACGCTACTGTGAAGTACGTGAACAAACAAGAGCACAACTCTCCCTTCTCTTAGCTAGCATTGCAACAACAGAAAATCCGGGGCTTTGTTAAAATATTAATGGATGAGAAAAACAAGAGTGTGATCGTTGAGTTCAAACAGATCTCGATTTCCAATCCAAACAACCTCAGTAGCAGAGATTGGCTGGCTTCACTAGTGAGTGAAGAAGATACAACAGCTCAGACTTTTGGCTCTGGCGTCCGAATAGGAAAGGTCCCCAGTGTAATCCGTGAGAAAGGCGAGAAAAGCTATGACCCCAAGGTGGTCGCCATCGGTCCCTACCATCATTCCAAGCACGAATACGATCAAATGGAGAAGCACAAAACGAAAATGGTGAGGAAGTTCATTTCGTTACTCACTCGTAAAAAAGGGGTAAAAGCTGATGACCCAAAACAGAAAGCAGAAGCCCTGTACCAGAAGGTTGATGATGTAGCACAAGAAGCAAAGCTCTGCTATGAGAAAGGTTCAGTTGAGATATCCGACGACGAATTCAATTGTGTAATGTTCACAGATGGTTGTTTTGTTGTCTATTTCATTCATTGCATGGTGAACGATGACTTGGAGAAGTTGGAAATGAGAAATGATCATGTATCTTTTGTAGAAAATGACTTGTTCTTGCTGGAGAACCAGCTCCCATTTTCAGTCATTCGTGCATTGATGAGCTCTGAATTCCCTCGCGATGATTGGAAGGCAATGATCAACAAGTTCGTTAAGTGGGAAATCTCTAAAGATGATGACGATGACTATGATGAAGATGAAGAACAAGATCCTTTTCATCTCCTCGACCTTCTCCGGACCAGACTCCTCAAAAGCAACAGTAGGAAAGACAGGCCTCAACTTGGAACTAGCCGTCGGTTGCTGCAACTGGGAATTCTCCGGCAGCTGTTTCACCTGAACCCCAATCAACAATCCTGCCCGCCAGAGCAAGAGACTGAAGACGACTCAAAGGAGTTTCTCTGGCAATCATTCGATACAGCCAAGGAACTTAAGGCAGTGGGGGATCAACTTCGGTAAGAGCAAAACACCTAGTCTAAGTAGTGTTCATTTCAGACCAGGCCTCATCTATGGAGAGCTGATACTTCCTCCCATAGTCATTTAGATTTCTAAACTTGATAGCCTACGAAAGATGTTTCTTTCCCTTCAAAAATACAATGGTAATGTTTTACATCTGTTTTCTGGATTCGCTCATTAATCATTCTGATGACGTGAAAGAAGTAAGATCAGCAGGAGTGCTTCTCAACAATCTGGGTAGCGATAAAGATGCAGCTGATCTCATCAACCAAATGACAGGGGAACTGGTGGACTGTAATGAGTACTTCGAAGTTATGAGGGAGATTCGGAGGTTTTCCAACAGGAAGGCAAGGACTTGGATGGCTGAAATGTTGAATACGCATTTCAGTACCCCCTGGACTGCCATTGCTTTCTTTGTTGGGCTGTTGCTTATCCTTCTCACCATCTTCCAGACATGCTACACAATGTTCCCTCCGGTTTAAGGCAGAGGCATCAGTGCTAATTTAGTGTTAATTATGTACTACTTTGTTTCAGGTCTCAATTTTCACATTTATCCCACTTCCTCTTTTGCCATTTTTGTCAATCATTTTGATCAATGTTGCAGGATTTAGAAGTAGTAAATGGGTAGATTTTACTTGGAACCAAATGAAATTCACCTCAATGGCCTTCAATCAACCCTATCCAATCTGTCACAGGATAGAGTCTAGTTACAAATTCCTGAAATTAACCCATTTAAGCTGATTCAAAAGTCAAATAATTTACACACTTCACATGTTTTATGTGACGTGCTACAATGCGATTCGTCAAAGTGTAAGCCCACTCGAATAAATTGCTGTATTTTTATAAATATTTTTAATTAATACAAAAATTTAAATTTAAATTTATAGCTTGGATGTGAAGGCAAAGGCAAGTAAAAGTAAATATAAATTTCAGTAAAATAAAAAATCGGGATTGCATGTGCTTCATGACATGGTTTTCAAAACCGGATCGGATCGGATCGGACGGTCGGACTGGAAAAATCGGGAACCAGTCACTTGACCGGTTCTGTTTTTTTTTCCAAAATTGCTTTTTTTCTCAAAACCGTTGATTTTAATCAGCAAATCGTTGACCCAGAACGAACCAACAGTTCGGATTAAATGGTCGGACCGTTGGAACCAATAACCGCACCCCTGACCGGTTCGATTTTAAAAGCCATGCTTCATGATCATCTTCTTAAATGGGTGAAGTAACATTTCTCTTTACAATAATATAATAATGTTTTGCTCCCAGACTTTAGGGACGAAAATTAACTAAGTTAGGGTCAACTCTGTGATTATTTCTGATTAATGATAAGTTAATGCATGCTTGAATTTAATTCTTTTTTTACTTATACAAGTTACGATGTTTCCTCCACAAAACTCTGACTTTTGCTAATGGTACATGACTATAAATTTCAATAGGGTAGTAACCAGCCAGCGACCCGAGAAATAAAAAGAGAGCTCAGAAGAACTAGATAGACACCATGTTCTGTAAGTTCTTTTATTGTTATTAGAGCTTTCTTCTTATTATTTGAATTCATTTGTAGCTTTAGGTTTGAAGTAGATGAGCTTCAACTTACCACCAGTTATATGTCGTTTAGCCCGTAATATAAACCATAATAAACTAGGACCCATGAAGCTTACAGGGTTATCATCACTTCACCAGTTCACTTGCCGGGTCCAATCCAAAACTGTATCAGAATTTATCTCGACCTTTAGTTGTGTTCGATCATTTTGGTTCAATTGTCATCTTAATTTACTCTAGCTTCCTAGTTTCAGTGACTTCTTTAATACTCTTGATGTAATGTTACTTTTCAATCTTGAAATTGTGCTTAACTCCTGACTCTTGTTTCTTTTACTTCCACGCCAAAGCAAATTGCATTGCCAGATCGTTGAGATGTGGCTCCCACTTTCCCAAAATGTAATGTAGAGGTCCATCTATCCGTCTTGAGAATAGGGGCATACCTTGGGCTGGCCCAAGTTAACATTATACAGTACTTTGGGCTCAAGCCTTTCGGCTAGGCCCATTCAAATTTTCCCAGGGCTTTCACTTTGACACGTCTTCGTTTGTAATCGCTTAGAGCCCCTCTTCCATCAATAGGTACTCCCAACGCGTCGACCACACGGCCTAGCATTGCCTTTCCTGCAGGAACATCCACAATAGATCCAGTGTGCTTGACAAGGTCTCTTTCTTTAATAGCGGTATCACGTCCAAAGACAACAATACCTACATTCCCATTCTCAAGGATTCAACGCTATTCCTTTCGTACCACTGGCAAATTCAACCATTTCCCCAGCTTGAATCTCGTTCAGTCCATAAACACGTGCAATCCCATCTCCAACTGAGACCACTCGAMCGATCTCATCCACTTGAAAATTTGTGTAAAAGTTGATAATTCTACTTTTTAATAGAGTCGTGAATTCCGCAGTTCTAGGAGATAATTCCATAATTCAAAAATAGGATAGCCCAACTCGAATCCATTTAAATTGCACCCCTACTTGAGAATAGGGTGTTGTAATTAGGAGTGATTTTGGATCAGATTCACCCAAATCCAATCCGATATTGAAATTCTGACGACTCTGAATCTGATCCGAATTAGACTAGAATTGGTTTTGTGTGCCTGGCTTAATATGTGGCACTCTCTGTATAACCCTTAGCCAATGAATAGGGTGGCAATCAGCGAGCGGGAGAGAGAGCCATTGGAACGTGACACAATATTCTAAAGTTCTTATTGTTATTTGGATCTTTTTTTTATATGTTATTGGCTTGCGTGTCTTTTTGGGAATATCTTTGGGTAGTTCTGTCAGTCAAAAGATGTATTGATCTTTTGCATGAAGATTTGAGCAGTCTGAAGTATGTTTAGCAAATGCGAGTCTTTCTGTGTGTCTTTCAGCAAAAGAATAAAACGCAACGCAAGAAATTTCTTTTGGAGCTTCTCGAAATCAGCCCAAAATATGTTTTTCGTGTCTTTTCAGCGTTCTGTCTTTTGACAACTAGATCTTCTATGCGCCAAACAGAAATAGACCAAAAATCGGTCTTCTCGACTTGTAAACAATCGAAAAATCACACAGAAAAACGCACCAAACGCAGCTTTCATTTCCTGATTGAAGTTGAACTAGTTGAGCTTTATGTATCATTTTTTAGGCTAACGGGACTCTGGATTTAAATATATAATTTTTAAGTTCCAATCTAATTAAGCCGCACCACTCGATGATTTTATTAGGAGTGAATAGAATCGTTCGGGATCAACAAAGTACACAAAACTTCAGTTAATCTTTCAGTTATCTAAATGGGTGAACAAGGTATAGTGACAAACAACCCTCCTACAACGGATCGGATGATGATCTCTATTAAACAACAAAACGTGAAACCACACAGAAAGCCCCTCGTATAGAAGGTTCCATGGATGCAAAATGTCAAAGCCAACAAGAAGATCTATGATCCATTGGTAGTTTCAATCGGGCCCTTTCAAACCTCAATACATACAAATGGAGAAGAATATGTCAACAGTACTGGAGAAATTTGGTAAATTCCTTTCGGATGGTGGGATTGATATACAAGATTTGTACAAAAAAGTGCTAGATATAGCAGGAAAAGCAATGACTTGCTATGTAAAGAATAATTGCAAAGGTCGATGCCCAAAAAGAATAGTAACTCTTGTATTAATCAATAGAGGGGACAGTTAATATATATACAATTACATCAAGATTAAAATTAGCAAGACTAAAATCAGCAACATCCTAATCAATGGAGGAGCAAATATTCTAACTTCCTAAAACTCTATAAGCACAATATCTTTCTAAATATGTATAGTATCTCTATTACTCCCCTTCAAGTTGGAGCATGTAAGTCACGTATGCCCAACTTGTGAAGAAGAAAATCGAACTGACGTTGGCCAAGTGCCTTTGTCAAAATGCCTGCCAACTGATTGTAAGTTCACACATGAACAATTTCAATAATCCGGGCTTGCATAGCATTATGAACAAAGTGACAATCAACCTTTATATGTTTGGTGTGCTCATGAAACACCGAATTAGCTGCAATATAAATAGCGGCACGACTATCACAATGCAATCTCATAGGTCTGGGATGTTCCATGCCAAGGTCACATAGGACACTCTTCAACCACTTCAGTTCACACATCGCGGCAACCAAGGACCTGTGCTCTGCTTCTGTAGATGAACGTGAGACGGTATGTTGCTTTTTGGTTTTCCAGGAAACAGGAGACCGTCCAAGCATCACAAAGTATGCAGTCAAAGAGCGTCATGTCAAAGGACAACTAGCCCAATCGGAGTCACAATAAGCATACAGTCGGAGATCACTGTTGGCGCTTAAGATGATTCGCTGTCCTAGATTCCCTTTGAAGTGTCGAACCACCCGTAGAGCTGCATCCCAATGTTCTTGTCGTGGTTGTTGCATAAATTGTGCCAATATGTGCACAGAATAGCAAAGCTCAGGTCGTGTTATTGTAAGACAGATCAATCTTCTTACTAGACGTCGATATTTTTCTGGGTCATCAAGCAACTTCCCATCGGCCAGTGCGAGCCAATGATTTTGTTCCATGGGCAGATGAGCCGGTTTAGCTCCTAGCAATCCTATTTCAGAAATAATATCTAGTGCATACTTTCGTTGACAGAAATAGATGCCCCAATCTCCTCTAGCAACTTCAATACCAAGAAAATACTTCAACAACCCAAGATCCTTCATGTGAAAGCACCGACTCAGATATTGCTTGAATCGATGTATCATCTCCCCATTGTTTCCTCCAACAACAAAAACATCCACATACACCAAAACACAGAGTGTAGCTCCTTCCTTATGGTAAGTGAATAAAGAATAATTTGAGTGTGATTGAGTAAATTCATACATCTTCAAGGTCGTGCCCAATTTGGCAAACCAGTTTTTGGGTGCCTGTCGTAATCCGTAGAAAGATTTTCGCAAGCGACATACCTTTCCTGGATGTGTAGATGAAAAACCAGGCGACA